TCGGGGGCTCGGAGCTTGAGTCCCCGCATCGGGAGCAGCGGAGATCAGATTAGACTTGCAGAGCCTTGCCCAGCTGGGGCCCGCGGAGACAGGGCGCCCCTTCTCCTGGGAGTTGGCCCCCAGGACCCGCCGGAGCGAGAGGAGCAGGTCCGTCAGTCTGCACACGGGGAGAGGGAGTGTGATGTGCGCACGCGCGTGTGCATGGGCGCCTGCCTGCAAGGGGTGGGTGTGTAAGGGGCGTGGGGGACGATGGAGATGATGGTGTGTGGTGTGTCTGTACCGTGTGTTAGGGTTGTTTGTGCTCTGCCTGCAGAGAGAGAGAGAGAGAGAGAGAGAGAGAGAGAGAGAGAGACTCATCAGGGGGAGTGTGTCTGCGTGTGTCTGTGTGTGCAGGAGTGTGTCACGGGTACTAGGTGCGGCTGTGTGTGTGATGTAAGGGTACCGGGTGCACGTGTGTCCCTGGTTCACCCTCCCTTCCCCCACCAGATGTGTTCGGGGGGTGGGGTGGTAGCCTTCTGCAGCTGCCCCTTGCCCAGTTTGTCTGCCTGACCTCCTCTCCCAGGGAGCTAGAAAGCGTAAAGTCTTCCCCACCCCCAGTACTCCTAGGGTCAAGGCAGAGGGTAGCAGCAGGCCAAGCACCCAGAAAAGAGGGGAACCGTGCTTCTCTGGCACAGCCTGGGTAGCCTTCCAGCTCAGATCACTCAGGCTTGTGTTCTATCCTTCCTGAGGGCCTTGGGCTCCGGTGGTTTCTCCCTCCGGGACTGGAGGTGGGGGATTCAGCCCGAAGGGCTTGCTTTTCTGCTGCTGTATTGCTGGAACAGTGCCTGACACACAGTGGGCCTCTGGATATTTGCGGGAGGAAGGAAACTGGGCAGGGGGTGAGGGTTGGGTGAATCTGCATCTGGAAGGCCAAGCGGATTCTCTCTGCTCTGGTTAAGGATGAGGGTACTGCTTGTCGCCATAGTCAGACCTCAGTTCCTCTTGAGGGAACATTGGGTGCGCGTGGGGGTGTGGATGCAGGGGAGAGCCTGCCGCTAGTGGAAGGGGCTGCCAAGAGCAGTTGTCAGGACTCTCTCGGCAGAACATTTTGCCTCTTGCTCCTGCACCCGCTTCTCTGTGACTAGCGCTTCTGCCCAGGGCATCTGATCCTGGGAAAGGGAAGAAGGTGGCAGAGGCCTGAACTCACAGGACTACTCCTCCCTCTAGGACCCTTGAGCTCACAAGGTGCTGAAGAAGTGAACCTCCCTCCTGCCCAGCCAGGCTGCTGAGCCAGGTGGGGCCATGGCAGGCAGAGGCTGCCTGGAGCTGGGGCTGTTCTGCTGGGTGCTGCTTGCTGTTCCTGTGGGTCCTCAGCCTGCTTCCTCTGCTCCAGGCGCCCCTCTCACCACTCTGACCCCACCACCTCAGAGTGAGGCCTCTTTGCTGTCTCTCAACCTGGGACTAAACTTCAAATTCCATCTTCGGGGACCTGCTGCTGTCTGGGGGAACCCTGTCACAGAGACCCATCCTCTCTCTCCTGGGCTAGGCCAGGAGTCTGAGGAAGAGGTGGAAGGTGATCTCAGGACTGATCCCCTTTGGGAACTGCTGGTGGGTTCCCCTGGGAACTACCTCTCAGAATGGGGCTCTGCTGATGGCAGCTCTACACCCTGGGCCTCCTCCCTGCCTCCCGAGTCCACCTCTCCCCTCTCAGGGCCCACCAAGCGTCCCACTGTTCCCTCTCAGCCTAGGGTGGGCACTGTGACCTGGGCCACTGCTCTGACAGCTACAGCACCCCCAACCAGTGCTCCCAGGCTTCATCAGAGTGAGCTGGAGCTGAAGTTTGGTGTGGCACTGAGAGCAGGTGCGGCCCCCACTCTTGGTCATCGTTCACTGCCCCTGCTACCCAGCCTGAGAGCCAGCCTGGCAGAGATTGCTGGGCGCCTGGGACCCTTTGGTAAGTAGCCATCCTATTTGAGGCGAATCCCTGTTGGGTACCAGTTGATAAATATCCATTGTAGAGAGGAGGAAGCTTCAGTCCACTCCTTTTGCAGGGTTCTTTGGTACCACTCTGTCCCCACTCCGGAACTTCTCAGGCCAGAGCTCCCCGGGAACAACAGCACATCCAAGCTCTGCTTCGGACGTGTCAGATTCTCCAGGTAGGAATTTTGCTGTTGTCATGAATTGTGATGTAAATATCTGTGTTTTTCGATGGTTGTGAAAGGGTTGATCAAAACCCCAAAGAAGGCGAGACCCACAGGTTGAGAACCACTGCTCTAGGACAAGGGCTGGTGCTCTTTGGGGAAGCAGTCTTTTTGCTATGTTGACTCTGATTTGGTGCCTGCAGTTTTTTTTAAATCATGGTGTGCATGTGGCTATGGTTCCTGAGGCAGTGACTTCCTTGTGACAAGCTTTGTGGAAGGGTAGGATGGTAGGATGGCATTTGAGCCCCATATGCTTCTATTACAGGGCTCTTTGGTACCATTCGGTCCCTACCTCCACCTCTCCTGGAAAGAAAGTTCTCAAGCTCAAGCCTGCTGGACTCAGTGGCTTCCCCAAGCTCTGCCTCAATTAAGACAACACCAACGGAACACGGTGAGCATACAAGTCATTTGAAATAGACATACTGCATGTCACATACTCACCAGTGTCCTGGGACCTTTCCATGTCATGGTTCTCATTTGAAATAGACATACCATGTCACATACCATGTCACATCGGTGTCCTGGGACCTTTCTATGTCATGGTCCTCATAGCCATGCCACCTTTCACTTCACCATCACTGAAGAGAAATTATACATTAGTGATCTGTCAAGTACTGCCTGGGAAGGTGCCACGTGGCATTAGGTAAGGGCTCTCTGAGATGTTTGCTGCCGTAGGCAGAATAGGACAGAAAGAGCCAAGCCAGAGCCAACCAGTGAAGGAGCTACTTCAGGATTTCCACAGGGTCCCCCCCCCCCCCCCGTGCCTGGTCTTCCTTCCCAACACTGCCCCACCCAGCCTTGGGGTTGTCTCCTCTGCTGTTTGATCTGCCATGACATGCTGTCAGACCTAGGCAGGGCTGAGCGCTTCACAGAGAAAACATTCAAGAGGAGACCATGCGCAGACAGATGCCACCTTCGTTCAGGGAGCCTTTCTGAACATGCACCTGGACAGGAGGATGGTGCAGAGGAAACGTTTGGCCTCTTCAAGCCTAACTCTTCTCACTTACATAGGGTCTGACAAGGATGCACTTTTTTTTTTTTTTTTTCAGAAACCCTAATGTCTTGAGATTGTGAAAACCCCTGCTGGATGCCAAGTAGAAACTCATTGAACAGTAGCTTCTTAGCTCACTTGCACTGCACCCCAAATGCACATCCAGACTCAGCCTTGTAGACACCCTGGCCTCAGCTCCACCTGATGATGGGATAACAGAGTTTCTAGGGCAGAGGGCACAGGTGCCCAAAGAGAGGTTTTGCTAAATGAGGCTATGGGCACAATGGGGAGGGACCCCCCCCTCAGTTCAACTTTGCTCTACTAAAGACTCCCTGTATCTGTGAATCATCTAAGCCACTCATGTAGTAAGCTCAGCCATGGATACTCTGGTTTTCCAGCCCCAGGCTGACAGTGCACTGTATTTTATGGCTTTCTTCAGCTGTCATCATAGTGGTCCCTCTGTGGTAGATAAGGAATGGCCACTGTCCTGTCCAGTTAGTGTACAGCAGTAGCAGGATCTGCTGTGGGTGGGGGGCGGTCCTGTGCCTCAGGGGATAGATGCTGGCTGGCATTCTGTCAGCCTGGGTGACAGTGCTGGTCAGGCAGGTTTAATGAGTCTGGACAGTATCAGAGGTAGCCCAGCCTCACAACCCCCCTCCCCACCCCTGAGTCACTGGTGGCTGCTTCTCTTACATAAACCCAGAAGCCTGGGTCAATCCTTGTTAAGAGAGAGAGACAGAGAGACAGAGAGACAGAGAGAGAGAAAGAGAGAGAGAGAGATCAAGAGAGAGAGAGAGAGAGAGAGAGAGAGAGAAAGAGAGAGAGAGAGATCAAGAGAGAGAGAGAGAGAGAGAGAGAGAGAGAGAGAGAGATCAAGTTTGTAACGAATACATTTTTTTCCATTTTTGTTTAAGATAGAATCTCATGTAGCCCAGGTTGACCTCAAACTGGCTTCAGAGTTGAAGCTTCCTTTGAACTCCTGATCCTTCTGCCTCTACCTCACAAATGCTGGTATTTCAGGTGTGTCCTACCATACCGAGCATCCTAGGATCTTTATTTATTTATTTATTTTTGTTTTGTTTTGTTTTTTGAGACAGGGTTTCTCTGTGGCTTTGGAGGCTGTCCTGGCACTAGCTCTTGTAGACCAGGCTGGCTTTGAACTCACAGAGATCTGCCTGCCTCTGCCTCTCTAGTGCTGGGATTAAAGGCGTGTGCCACCACTGCCCGGGGATCTTTCTAACTGAAGTGTCATTTACATTGTGCCACGACATAGGACTGCTTTGCACTGGGTCCCCTTTTCTTGGACCATAGCTTGGAATCAACCCACATTGACAGTTTATAATGGGTTCTACCATACCCAAGGATTTCAGACCCATTGATGAGTCCCTCAGTGCTCTCCCTCTGTCCCCTGACCATACTGGCAGGCCTGGGCTATGAATGGCCAGTAGCTGGGCCAACTGGTTGTTAAATATTTCCAGTGTCACTGTTACAGAGTATCAGTCTCTACAGTGCTGGAGTTGGGGGTAGGGAGAAGGATGCAGCCAAACCATTAAATGGGCTGCAGCTTCCAGCATCCAGGCTTGATTCCTTGGCCCTTTGATCTTGGTGGCTGGTGGATAATCAGACCTGGCTTTTCCTGGACCTAGCTTATCCTTTCCCATCCCCCTCCTCAGCCAGCCCGGCCTCACCAATTACTCATGTTGACATCCCATCTTTTCTTTTGTCTCACCCCTGAGGTTAAGGGGTCACGAGGACAGGGTAGAACCTCCCTGAAGGGATGGCCTGCTCAGGATCCATCACCTGGGCATATAGGAAATACAGGACCACCGTCTTTTAGGGCAACTTAAGGCATTTGTTTCTGAGAAAGTTACACACAGAGAGGCAAGAGATGAGGTCAAGTGGACGCTTCACAGGGGAAGCTAAGTACTCTCCTTTCTGCCTCCATCCATACTTGGCCCAGCGGAGCTCTCTGGGCAAACTCTGGTCCTCAGGAACTGTTCCAGACTGAAAAGTCTGTCTCTGATACTTGAGGTGTCCCTTATGCTTTGCCTATTTTCTGTGCTGGATTTTAGAATTGTTGAAATTTGCTCTATCAGCCATTGTGCTTGGGGACAGAGATGAGTAGTAGGGTTTCTTATGAGCCCACAAGTGAGAAGTGAATGTGGTCTCTGGGAGCATTTGTCTGTATGGTAGGCAGGGGAGAGGCTGAGGAATGACAGCCTGGGGCAGACTGTGGGCTCTTGGGAAGCAAAAAGCCAAATGAAACCAAGGTAATCCAGTAACTTAGTAGCAGTAGGCTAGAGAAGGGCATCAAAAGGGTCCAGAAAAGGAAGAGAGGATATATTAGTTTAATGACACAAGGCTGATGCCTCCTCTGACCAGCAGGCTACCTGTTTCCAATGAATGGGTGTTGGGGGAGAGTTTAGGTCCTTGATCTAGTTTAGTGTTCTTCAGACAACTCAAACTGAGATAGTAGGTTGATGTTCACTCACTGGACTGCTTGTCTTTCTAAACAAGTTTAGGATGTGCTAAGGGCTTTCTACACAGATCATAGCCTTATGTAGTTAAACCAAAAACTAACCTTTGGAGCTGGAGACACAACTCAGCACTGAAAAGCACATGCTGCTCTTATAAAGGACCTAGTTCCAATTGCCCACATTGGATAGCTCACAACCGTCTCTCACTCCAGTTCCATGGGATGCAACATCCTCTTCTGGCTTTTGTGGCTGCCTGTACTCACCTATAAATACTCACCCCCAACACACATATAATTGCAAATAAAATAGATCTCTAGGAAAGAACTAATTTGGGGCCAGAACTGATGATTGATCAGAGGTGAACATTAACTAGTCATGATACTGGCTAGAATTATACACTGAATGATCTTTCTCTGTACCAGGCACACACACATCTCACTTATCTTCATGACTGTTCTGTGTAATAGGTATTCTTAGCCAGTTCGGATTTGAGGAATGAAATGGAATGGGAACCAAAGTACATGTTTCCTCTTGTAGCTGGCAGGGAGTATGTGTGTTTAATTTCCTGGTTGTTACCTCCATGCCTTTCCTAGTTGTCCAATTCTTCTTCCCTTCTCTCTCTCTCTTGAGATGCCTGAGACTTTACTCCTTTTCCTTCTGTTAGGTTTTTCAAGTTCTCAGCATCAGGGAGAACTGCTTGGGGTGGGGTTTCCTCATCTGGCTGGGGCATGGCTGGGGCATGGCTGGGGCATGGCTGGGGCATGGCTGGGGCATGGCGAGTGTAACCACCAGAAGTTCCTTACTCTTCAGTACACACCCGTCTCCTGCCCCCATCCCCACCTGGCTGTCTCTATCCTTCACTACCACTGTTCTTGCCTGCAGCTTACTGCTGAGCTTTCAGGATACAGGAATATATCATCTTCTAGCATCTCCCTTTCTGTTTGGCTATGGGATGATCTCTGAGTCTAACTTATTTTGAGTTCCTCTTGTTCCAGGTTCTGCTCTCTTGGAACAGAACCAAGGGTCTCAATCCTTTCCACTCTTCACTGACTTCACCTCCCCCAAGAGTAGATGCGGGAGATGTCCGGGGCATAGAAAGAGGCTAGAGCCTGTTGGCAGACCCCAGCACACTCGAGGGGTTCACTTATCTAGATAGCATGTCACCCCACTATGATATCCCTGATTGTTCCTTTGGGGGGAGTTCAAGGCCACCCTCGGAGACCTGGGGAGTCCATCACAGTTCTATCTTGTATAAAATGGGAGTGGGGTAAAGAGGCACCTATAGCAAGAGCCTTATACTAGAGCATATGGATGTCACTCTGTGGTAGAGCACAGGGGTCAAGGGAGAGAGTATTTAGTGTTACCCTGGCTTAATAGCTTACACCATAGCCCTAGCACCTAGATACTGGAGGCACAATGATTGTTGTGAGTTAACAGGGCAGCCTGGTCTACAAATTGGGACCTCCATCTCATAAAAATAACAAAACAAACAACAAAAGCCCTAGGCTAATGGTTTTGTAGATGAGTCAGGATGGGATGGGGACTGCCAATCATTGGCTAAGCATTGAAAGGACACTTAATAAGAAATCATGCTCTCCTTAGAGTACTAGGGCAGGGGCATCTCACCTCTTTCCCAGTTCTCATGCAAACATATGTGTTCATGCGTGCTCTCTGAATAGGGACAGGAGAGTGTTGCAAAGGGACAGGTGAAAGACTATTCTAGTCCTAGATGTGGTTAGGTGTCATGTGTGTGTGTGTGTGTGTGTGTGTGTGTGTGTGTGTGTTGGGGGAAGAGAAGCGTATTGGGACTGTGGTATTGTGGAAAAGGGATGCAGATCGGTGCTCAGATCTGGGTCCTAGTACTACGACTATCTGTGAGCTTGGGAAGGTCCTTTTGCAGAACCCCAGTTTCTTCTTTGGTAAATAAGATTCATTTGTGCAATGAAAACTACTCAGTGCCTCCCACATGCCACAAATCATTTAAGCGTGGAGATTCATATGTGTGCAAAGGAAACGAAAAATTTGTTCTCATAAAACTTCTTTTCTGGTGTGGGGATGGGTTTGGAGGGGGGTAGCTCTACAGTTCCTTCCAGTTGCAAAGTTCAGTAACTTCTTAAGAAAACCCCTCCCCCAACCCAGTAAGATCAAGGAGCGATGGATGGGGGTTGGGGGAATGAATCACTGTGGATAGATGGCAGGAGAGTGATCTCTGAACGCTTCGGCCTGGAGGGTGGGGTTCTGGGGAGGAGAAGGGAGAGATGAAAAACAGGCTCCTTGTAGATGCACTCAGATTTCTAGCTGAGGGCTGGCAGTGTGTGGCAGGGGCGGGGTTGGGGGGCGCGGACTGCTAACGGCTTTAGCCAAATGTTTTCTGTCTACAGAACCCACTATCTCCACTTCTGGTCCATATGAACCCTTTCCTGCCAGTTTCGGGAGTCCTTCAGTACAGCCTGAATGCGAGCCGGATTCTTGTAGTGAGTCAGAGTTGCCCGATGACCTGGGGCAGCCTCCTGCCTCCCCACTGCCTCTCTTCTTCTTGACCCTGGAGGCCGACTGGGCAGAGGCCAAGGCTCGCTGGGGCCTGGCCTGGGAAGCCCACGTATATGGGGCAGGAGCACTCTTCGGCCTGGTGGCCCTGCTGGCTCTGTTGGCTCTAGCCCTTTTGCCCTGGCGTTGCCCTCCTGGCGCCCCCTGCCTGGCGTTGCTGGATCTGCTGCTGCTCTCGGCGGGGACC